GTCTGTGTCAGTCCGGGAGCTCGCTGTCCCAGTCTGTGTGAGTCCCCAAGCTCACTGTCCCAGTCTGTGTCAGTCCCGGAGCTCACTGTCCCAGTTTGTGTCAGTCCCGGAGCTCACTGCCTCAGTCTCTGTTCGTTCCAGTGCTGAAGGAATGTTGCACTGTTGGCGGGTCATCGCTGAGCAAGCTCCACACTGATGTAGGGTCAGTGCTGACGCAGCATCGCTCTGTCAGAAAATCAGTGCTGAGGCAAGTCTGTACTGGCAGCCAGTCATTGCCGAGAGAGCGCCGCACTATCGGAGTGTCAGTGCCGTGACGTCGGAGGGTCACTGCTGAGGGAGCACTGCACAGTCAGATCCTCTATCTTTTGTATGTGATGTTAAGGTAAAGTTACAATCTGCCTGATGAATGCACAGAAATGATTGGATGTGTACCAGTGAGCAATGAGTTGGCATGTTTGCTCTGATGTTCTGGGTCAGTATTTATACTACAACCATTGTCTCAGAGATATAAAGAGCTTGGGTGAAGAACCGTCTCTGAAACAATTTGGCGATCTATTCACAGGCTGCAATTACAGTGTGACTGGTGGACTCCCAGACAATTCTGTGTCGATCCACAATGGAGAACCCTGTTTCGTATCAAGTGAGATCAACGCACGAGGCCAAAAACTGATGCAAAACTATTTAAATCAGTTCAGATAAGCCACCACCGTGCCTTGAGTTAGATGGATCGCTATTCTGTTTTGGAAGAATTTCCATCCAAGAAGGAGATAGTCTGAGAGGATAATCTGACTGACTTACTTCATTCAGCTCTTTACGATGGCAGGTACAGTGGGGGCTCTTCGTGATCATAAAACATTGGTGATTCTCTCAGTCTCCTGTAGATGAAATACGGCAATATGTGAATCGAAGCTCTTTGGGATAGCAAGAGCTGCAGATGCAGAAGTCAGAGTCAATACTGGTGGAGCTGGAGGAGCACAGCAGGTCAGGCCGCATCAGAGGAGAAGCAGAGTTGACATTTCGGGTCAGGCCCCTCCATCTCACAGTTATGTACACTCTCTCTCTCTCACATACACAAACACACACAGAAAAACACATCTCTCAGTGATGTACACCCTCACATAGTAAAACACAGATGATGACGTCACTCAGTGACACACTATCTGTCTCTGTTTCTCTCTCACACATTTGCACGTGCACACAAATATAACCTCCAAGAATTAAAAGCCATAAACACACAAACCCTCACAGAGAGGAACACGTACATCCACAAGCTGCCGCACTCAAACCTCCTCCCTGAAACTTATAGGTCACAATGCAATGTATAACTTACTCTCAGGCAGTTACTTCAAATGAAAATACAAACATCTGAGCTATGTTTTTAATTCCAGTCCTGGATGTTAGTTAGTATATATTTAAACCCCAAGAATGCTTGATTAGATTCCAGTCTGTAACTCACTCCCAGTGTCTGTTAATCTATATAGCACCCCCTCGATTAGATTCCAATCTGCGATTCCTGGTATCTGTCACTGTATATTAGTCAACCCAATCCCTTTGATTATATTACAGTCTGTAACTCACTCACGGGTATCTGTTACTCTGTATATAAACCACCCCGATCCCCTTAATTAAATGACAGTCTGTAAATGATACCTGAGTATCTGTTACTCTACAGACAAACTACACTGAACCCCTCAATTAGATTCCAATCTGTAACTCACTCCTGGGTATTTGTTATTCCAGGCACAACCCACCCACCATCTCCCCCCCACCCCCGACCCTGCCCCACCTACCAGCCCTCAATTAGTTTCCAGTCTGTAACTCAGTGAAAGCTAAATGGTTGAGTGGTAAACCAGGAGCAGGAACAGAGAAAGCTGCATGAGGTTGTAGACATGCTCGCTGAGCCAGTGGGTTTGCTTGCAAACGTTTCGTCACCCTGCTAGGTAACATTGTCAATGTGCCACTGGTGAAGCGTTGGTGTTCTGTCCCGCTTGTTATTTATATGCCAAACCCACCCACACGGCGAGCATGTCTACAACCTCATCCACAACCCGAGCCACAAATCTTCTCAATTTTTAGAGAAAATTGCAGTTTAATGCATCAGTTGTCCTCCTAATATTTGGTGACACCATCACGTAAGCTTTCTGTGATTTGTGTCCAAGGATCCAGACAGTCATGTTTATTAACTTAGTAAGTACAAGCGTACAAGTACATAGTTCATTGAAAACAGCGTCACAGGTAGGCAGAGTGGTGAAGAAGGCATTTAGCATGCTGGCCTTTGTCAGTCAAAGCATTGAGTAAAGGAGTTGGGATGTTATGCTACAGCTGTATAAGTTGTTGGTGAGGCTGTTCTTGGATTATTGTGTACGGCTTTGGTCACCCTGTTATAAGAAAGACATAGTTAAGCTGGAAAGTGTGCAACGAAGTTTTACAAGGATGTTGCCAGGATGAGTAGGCCTGAGTTATAGGGAGAGGTTGGCCAGGACAGGACTTTATTCCTTGGAATGTAGAGGAATGAGGGGTGACCTTACTGAGATGTATAAAACCATGAGGGGCATACTTCAGATGAATGCATATAGTCTTTTTTTCCCAGGGATGGGGAATTGAATACTACAGGTTTAAAGTGAGAGGGGGAAGATTTAAGAAGAACCTGAGGGGCAACTTCTTCACGCACAGAGTGGTGCGTATATGGAATGGGCTGCCAGAGAAAGTGGTTGAGGCAAGTACAGTAGCAACATTTAAAAAATAACATTTGGATAGGCACATGGATAGGAAGGGTTTAGAGGAATATAGACCAAATATGGGCAGTTGGAACTAGCTGAGTGTGCACCATGATCAGCATGGACCAGTTTCGGCCGAAGGGCCTGTTTCTATGCTGTATTACTCTGTGAGTCTATGACTGTGAGAGTAAAGGAGTACTTGCCCCAATGATACACAAGAAGTGATTCCTGGGAAAACTCGGCAGGTCTGGCATCATCTATGGAGGGAAATCAGAGTCCAGTGACCCTGGTCACTCGCTCACTCACCTCAATCACAGACATGAATGACTAAATAATGTTGTGATTTTGAAACATTAAAGCGCCATTACACAATTCCTGGATTTCAGATTAACACAGGACATTCACAGAACTGGATAAGGCTCAACACTCTCCTCCCCCAACACTGAGAGGTTCCTGTATCACACACTGTTTTTGGTATCAGGCGCTGTGTTTGGGAGCAGGACATGGCAAATGGGATTTGGAGACTATTCATGTGGATGTTAAGAATGAGAAATTTAATAGGGAATCAGAACAGAGAGAATCAAACAAAGAACTTGGCATTGAATTGAATTTGAGAAGTAGAATGTTGAACCAGTGATATTTTGATCCTGTAATAGCGCAGTGAAGAGTTCAGGGCTGAGTCTTTGTATGGTTGTGTGTGTGTGTGAGCGTGCATTGTTATATACACTGTGCTGTCCCTGTCCTGAGAATATTTGATGGGGACAGTGTAGAAGGAGCTTTACTCTGCATCTAACCCCATGCTGCCCCTGTCCTGGGAATGTTTGATGGAGACAATGAGGAGGGACATTTACTTTCTGCTTAAAAGTGTAGAGGGAACTGTACCCTGTATTTCCAGCACAGTGGTAGGAACAGAGTCATGAGACCGTTAGCTGATCCGTTCTATGTATGACTTGCATCTGAATGACAGGAAATCGTTTCGCAGTATTGTTTAAAGTCAGGATATTCAGAAACATTCTCGGTGTTGCACCACCATTGTGAAATGAGGAAGCCACTTATTTACGCAGATAGCCCACACACTGTGTGTGGATTGCAGTGATGTGGGCAATGAAGGGGCTACTTGCTGTCTTCCTTTGCCTTTCTTGTGGTAAGTAACTTTTGTTCTTTAAAATTGGGCTTCTGTACTTCAGGAGGTGACAGCTAGACATTGTACATTCTCTCAGCTTGGTGTCTAACATTCCTGGAGTGACAGGAATGAGAAACAGGTTCACTGCTGTCAGAGTGTGAAGGGACTGCTTGTGAATAACAGTCCAAAGTTGTCTTTGTTCTGTCTCCAAACAGCATCAGATATAGAATCTTGTAGCCTAGTCTTAGACTAAAATATTCAACATAACTGCACTCTCTCCTCATATCCCTGTGTCAATCCCCAAACCGATCCTACTATCCCGCGCTCACCTCATAGCTCTGTATCAATCCCCAAACTAATCTCACTGTCGCAAACTCTCCCCAAAGTCCTGTATCAATCCCAGTACTAGTATAATGCATGTCATTATGTTTCTGTTATACAATACAGGATATTCATGAGATCACTTCTCAAAAACTGTTTGCAGCATTAGTCTCGTTATTCAGAGATTGTCAAAGCATAGAAACATGTCCCTTCAGTCCACCGTGTCTCTGCCAACCAATAAGCACCAATCTACACTAATTCCATTTATCTGCACTTAGTCCATAGCCCTACTATGCCCTAGCATTTTAAGTGTTCATCCAGATAATTTTTAAATTTTGCGAGAGTACCTGCCTCTACCACACTTTCAGGCAGTTTGTTCCATATATCTACCACCCTCTGGGTGAATTTCTTTTTCCAGATATATTCTAAACCACTTACTCCTTACCTTAAATCTATGCCCTCTCATCTTACACACATCTGCCATAGGGAAAAGATTCGCGCTATCAACTCTGTCTCTACCTCTCATAATTTGATATGCACCCCTCAGCCTCCTCTACTCTGGGGAAAACAAACCCAGCCTATCCAGTCTGTCCTCATAACTAAGACATTTCGTCCCAGGTAATATGCTGGTGAATCTCCTCTGCACACTCTCAAGCACTATCACATCCTTCCAATAGTGTGCCGATCAGAACTGCACACGGTATTCCTTCTGTGGCCCAACCAATGTTTCGTAAAGTTGTAAGAAGACTTCCTTGTTTCACTATCCTGCATCCTGGCTAATGAAGGCAAGTATCCTGTGCTTCGGGTATCTGTGGACTTGTACACCAAGCTCCCTTTGTGCATACGAAAGTTCTAGGCAGCTGCAAACTGACAAAGCCCTTGAGGAGTATAGAGAAATTAGGAAGGAATTTAAACGCAGAACTAGGAAGGCTAAAAGGTGCCATGAAATGTCTTTAGCAAACAGTGTCATGGAGAATCCCAAGGCTTTTAATGCATATGTTAGAAAAAAGAGGGTACTAAGGGAAAGAGTTGTGTGTGGAGCCACAGGAAGTGGAAGAGATCCTTAATGAGCACTTTGTATCCGTATTCACCGAGGAGGACATGATTGATGTTGATGTCAGGGATAAGTGTGTGAATACTCTAGAGAATGTTAATATATTAAAAGAGAAAACTTTGGGTATCCTAAATTGCATGAAGGTGGACAAGTCCCCAGGGCTAGATGGAATCTATCCCACGTTGCTGCGAGAGGCAAGAGGAAAAATAGCTGGGGCATTAGCAGATATCTTCACATCCTCCTTGACCACAGGCGAGGTTCCAGAGGACTGGAGGTTAGCCAACGTTCCCTTGTTTAAGAAAAGAAGCAGGGATAATCCAGGAAGTTATAGGCTGGTGAGTCCGACATCTGTGGTAGGGAAGCTCTTGGAGAAGATACTGAAAGACAGAATATTTGCACATTTAGAAGAAAATGGGCTAGTTAGCGAAAGACAGCAAGTTTTAACATGGGGAAGGACATGTCTCACCATCCTGATTGAAATTTTTGAAGAGGTGTCAAAGATAATTGATGAGGGAAGAGCTGTGGATGTAGTTTATGTGGACATTTGATAAAGTCCCACATGACAGATTGGTACAAAAACTAAATCACATAGGATTCGGGGTGAGCTG